ATCTGTTTTACAGATTCCATTTTTTTCCTATGTTGGGATTCCATCATGTTCCTCAGTTCCTCTATTTTTTTTTACTTGTGTCCTCTCTAGATTTATTAATCATGTCTTACACTATGGGTACAACCTCTGCTGTGATCTGAGAAATTATTTGATTTTATTTTTTCCAGATCCTCTTTTGTTGCCAGTTCAGGGAGTCCAGGTAGTTGAGTATCATATTGTTCCATCATGTTTCCCTTTGGGGTTGCTACAGGTGATCTGGAAGTCTGTTTTTGAGACATGTTTATGTGTCTTCTCATTGTGATGGGGTGGGGGGATAGGTGTTGCTGGCGCCCACGCGGCTCACCTCTGCACTGAGAGGGCTGGTACAGTGGCCCAGAAGCCCCCTCCTGGGTGCTGGGAGCAGCTCATTTCCTCTGCATTGAGGGGCTTGTATGGTGGCCTGGAAGCCTGTATTTTTATTTTAACTTTAAAAGGATGTGATTTTCCTTTTTATTCCTAAGTTGCATGTGATTTTTACATTATTTTTTAATTTTCTTTGCACCTCATGAGACTGGCATCCCTATTTCAACAAGATATATTTCTTCATCTCTGAAAGGAAGATAATATCTTCATGGTTGAATGACTTACATGTTTCCAAGAAAACTTCAAACCAAAATTCTTCCTAGAAAGATAAATAAAAAGGGAAAGGGGAACTATGGAAGAGCCAGCTCTAGAAGTGGGTTAAGATTATAGCAGAGGTCATTGTGTGCTTAATCTAATTTTAATTCTTTTAGAAGAACCTAACATTTTCAAAAATTTGCCTTTCTTATATCCTGTGGCTTATGTGTCAGTTTTCCTTAATAACTTTTAAAACATGTGTATATCACCCTACTAAATATGTTAATGAGTCTTTGTCTAATAGCCTGTCTCCCAAACATGTATTACATTATATGTGTACAATGTTACATATTTACTTTGTAAGGAAGATACCTGTATTTCTATTTTATCTACATATAGCAAGAAATATAAGCCACATGGTTGCTTTATTTCTATGAATTTATCTTCTCTTCTGGACATTTGTGGTATCATTTAAATCATAAAATTATGTTTGAAGTCTTGGTTCTTCAAAATTCTATTTCATGCATATTAGTATGTTTTTCTTGATGCTGGCAAATGATTACTTGCAAATTCATCTGAAAACAATTTGAGTGTCCTTGTGGGAAAGCATGACGGTATAATTATTGATCTTAAATACATTTCTTTTTTCCCCCTTAATAATTCAAGAAAAATGGGTGAACTAGGCAAATAGACAGGATCCTGGGTTCTATGATTAGTTGGCATTTACACAGATCTTTCACATGAGATTTAATAAAGTGTAACATGGAGTTTAGAAAGGTAATCTATAAGAAAATCAGAGAAAAAGTCTTTTAAGCACATTTTTGACAGTATTGCATGATGCTCTTTCTGCAGCTGTAATTGTCTAGTGTTTCTGTCAAAAGATGTAAAGCTGTATTCAGTAATGAGGCTGGCAGGAATCTGAGACTTTGTGTTCATTTCTTTTCATGACGGGAAGTCCAGCCTTTTGAAAAGAGGTAGAAATTAACATTTCTCCAGAATTACATTTCCCTTCATTTGAGGTTATCTGTTAATTCCAGTATTTTACTGTGTTTGGTAAATAGGCCAAATATACATTTTATTATATTTGAAAGTCAGGAGAGGCAATGAAACTTCACAAATTTCAACTGGCATTGAGGTTTGCTGATAAGCATGGCAGTTGCACCACTCCAAAAAGATTACATTATGTAGAATTGGAAAGCAAGTTGTATTTACAAAAGACAGGATGATGTTCCTAATAGGAATTCAGAATAGACTATCCACTCTCATGTTCTGCTCAGCTTTACTAGAAATAACTTCATTTTTGAAAGGACAAATCTGAATGAAGCTGCAAGCATTCCCTCTCCACAGATACTCATCCAAAGGGTTTATGTTAAATTCTCCTGATGGGCACACAGCAGTACTTTCTGCTGGATCTATAGAAACAAGTAAAAATCTAAATAATATACTTGATTGCTTCATGCACCAGCCATTGGATTGCTAGATTTATGTCTACAAACTGTGGAAGCAATGTTGCAATATGATATTGTGACAGTAACTGTCACAGTCATAATACAGGGATCTATTTTCATCTTGTCAGGGTAAAGTTATTAAGATTCACAGACAGTAGGTCAGAAGGGTCACCTACTATCACTCCTCATCTGTGGTTAAATGCTGACCTAAACAGCTAGTATATAATGTCAGAATTATCACAGTGTCCGGGATACAGAAGTACAACCTGCTGCATGATTTATTGCGTTTCCTGTCTGGAATGAAGATTATGAAAAGGCCAACAACTGTGAGCGGCAGTGGTTCAGAAGAAACTTAATTTCTATTTTTTTCCTCTTTTCCTTTTTCATTTTAGATTCTGGATTTAGTAAAGGGGACACATTACCAGGTAGCCTGTCAGAAGTACTTCGAGATGATCCATAATGTAAGTACATTTTAAAAATCTTTATAGCCTAATTCTTTGTCGCTTGTGTTCTTTTGTGTTTCATTCAAGGTTTTTAGTGGCAGCATTAGAAACACTAGCTGTTTTCAGCACAAAAGAATATATGATATGCTGTTAGGAAACTTACACAATCTATAAAAGGGCCAGAGAACTAAGCATGGATGCTATAGAACCAAGAACATTGTAGCTGGGATAAGCTACATCATGAAACGAATCTTACTTTAGTGCAGGTGATGCCCACTATTCTGTATATAGGGACAAGACCAAGGGTTGAGAAACTCTCTGTAAAGAGCCAAATTGTGAAATTTTAGGCTTCATAATTCACGTGGTCTCTGTCACAGTTACTCACTTGTGCTGTTGTAGTGCAAAAGCAGCCATAGAGTGTGTGTATTATAAATGAACAGGTATGGCTGTGGACCAGTAGAGCTGGCAGTGGGCTAGCTTTGAGCCATTGTCCTTAGTCTGCCAACCCTGACTGGAGTAGCTCTAGAACCTTTGTCATAGCTACCCAGGTGAACCAAAGGCTTTTTCCATCTTCCACGCAGAGAACCTGATCCTTCTGCTTGTGGCTGCCCTCTCCTGTTATTCTAGTCTACTTCCCAAGTCACACTCACTCTCATAGTAGCACGTAGGCTGCATGTGGACCCTAAGCAACCAAGGAGTCAGAGAGGTTGATTGGTTTCTATCTGGCCAGCCTCCTTGGCACAAAAGGCCTGCTAGGTAAATGGGGAGACTGCCGAGTGACTCAGCATGTCACAGAGTCCAAAGGGGCAAAGCCAGAGCCCAGAGCTTGGAGACCTATAGAAACTAGAAACAGACAGTGTGGGAGGAACTGTGGTGCTCTGAGGAATTCAGGTCTTGTTGGGAGCATTCACATGGACACACCCAAGGCTCTGTGCACTCAGACAGAACACATCTGCAAGCCGGATTCTGCCCATTGCCCCAGTTCACAACCCTTCATCCTGAGCAGGAATTCCCACATCCAAGAGTGAGTGGACTTCGGGGTCCAGTGTCTCCTAAAACATTTCACAGGTGCGTTTTTATGGAATCCAATGTATTTATCTGGTCTCACAGGGATCCATGGTCTCCCAAGAATGATAGTGCATTTTTTGAGTTCCTTAGCAGCTACCAGGCTGTTTTTTTTTTTTTAATCATGCTAAGTTTTAAAACTATTTTCATATTTTCTGTTGTCACAAAGTAAATTTCCTGTTCTGGTTTATATAATTGTAGAGTTTCTTGCTTGATAAAGAGTTCATAGGAATAATATCTTCTATAACATTGTCAATAATAATTAAAATGATGATAATACCAGTAGAACCCCTTAGTCCATGCCACCTACAGCACTAAGTCCTTTGAGCACATTAGCTCCCTTATCTAACTGTGACCAGGTATTATTTATATCCCCATGTATTAGTAAAACCTGGAGAAGCCAAGCAACTATGCATGATCGTATTGCTGATTAGAAAGGGGCTTGGGTCTGAACCAGGCTAAGTCATCTGTAGCTGTGAGCCTGACCATGACTGCACTCTTCTGTGAAATCTGCTACTGTATTTATAATCACTGCCGAGGCGATATGCATTTTCCTATCTAGAGTCAGAGAATGGTGAGTGTGGATGAACAGATGTCATCAGATTCCGCCTTTGTATTTCTGTACAAAGAGATGGGGCTTAGTGCCTCTGTGTGACTTGTCCAACTACCCCAACAGCTTTGGGAGACTTGGGCCCGAAGCCTGGCCACTGTGGAACTAGACTTCTCTCTCCTACACCCAGCATGTGAAAATGCTGTTATTTCAAAATACACTTTTACAAAATTTAAAAGATTAGACATCAAAAACCACTACTGCAAACAATAACAAAATCTGGTTTCTCCAGAGTAGGAATTGTAAGGTACCCTGCATGTGTTTGGCGTTTCAGCC